GTCAGTTTTTCGTTAATAATAATTTCTACTCTATACATAATCTGAATCTTTAATTTAATTAAAAAATAAAATTGCGCAACACAATTGAGAATACATATGTATATATGACGAATTATTTGAGAATAATTAATGTCTCTCACAAAATTTTCAGTACTGTACATTCGCGATTATTCACTGGCTAAGTGTCCTATGATGAGAATATAATGATGGGAGTTATTTCGGGGAAGAGACTGTTAAAGGAAAAAGCGAGAAAGCGAGAGGAGGGGATGCGGAACGATGATAAAACAATTAAAAAGGATCCAAGGAGCGGGCAGGGCCGCGAGAGGGTTTCGTCCGACAAAAAAGGACGATGCAATAAAGAAAAATAAAAGGACAGAAAAACACGGTGGACTCGAACGCGCGTCCAAGGACCAGAGGTCCTTGCTCTCCGGGTCATAGCGGTCCACAGACTCCTCGCAACACCTTCCTCTCAGGTCTCTCTCAGAGGCTCTCAAGCCTGGCCTATTCGGGCCCCCCCCCCCCGGCAGGCCTATCAATATCGACGTGACCATATTGGGTTTACAATAGACGGAGAAATTCTTACAACAGATATCATTATGGTGGACACGCGATAGAGTATGATAATAGTTGTATGGAAGAGGCGATTGATGACTGGTAAGAGCGGATTGAGATATTTATCGCGCTGCAGCTATCTGTAACAAAAGCGATGATGGATTATCTCACATGTTACAATTTATCTTTCTACATTCAGGAAGATTACTTTTCGAAATTTTTTAATATTCATCTTTTTTGTGATACTCTTTAAACTTTAATAAAAAAAATTCTTTTGACCTGGACTATTAAAATTTTTATTCTGAATTTTAATAAAACTTTCGTTAACTTTATGAGGGATATTAAATATATAGGAAGGAATAACGTGATTTACCGGAATGTAATTTTGTCGTGACATTTCACCTAATTTACATAATCGGTGATATCATATATCAAGTGTCATACCGATGAAAGAGTTGGCCTCGCCTCCACGAGAGGCGTTAGAAAACATGAGACATTTCCTTGTTAATTACTTTCTCGCCGGGACACTTACAATCTCAGCATTTTACGTGATTGCACGCGACTGTAAGTTCCCCGCGTCGCGCGGCGCGTTTCGTAATTTCGCTTGGTGACAGGTGTTCGCGGTTTTCAACAAGGTTCTAATCCTTGCAACACCGTGGCATATAGGGTAGACAGAATCTTAATTCCACGCCTAAGTACTAAAATAGGTGTCATCGAGATATAGAATGAATTATTTTTACAGAAAAATATTTTAGATCCATGCAAAAACTATACAATAAGTATTATGGAATGTATAAAATATTGAACATTGTACAGTAATAGAAAGGGAAATATTGTAAAATATAAATCATAAAATGTAATAACACCATAATATGATTCTTTTGTTAAAAAAAAATTGATTATAAATTTGTCGAGGAATTTTTCAAGTCTGTATCTTTTTGCAAACTTTTTGAAATAGTGCATTAGCGAGTTATAATTCGCGATTTACAATGTTATGCACAAGATTGAAAATATTCTCGAAATAAAATTTTTGAATCACGACTTGAAATAGCTTTTGATTATGTAAGTTCGTCAAAGTAGAAATTTGTTGGCATGCGTCGTGCTGTTACTGCATCCAGTCAATTACGGCAATGTGTGTAACGCGTTAATGCGATTGCATCGCGGAAAGTTGCACTGTCGCGGAATTTTGTATGAGATTGGAAAGAGTGTTAGAGAGAGTATTAACTCTTAAACTTATATATATCAGCCATTCTCGACATGTTTCAATAATCTCTGAATATCTTTGTGTGTATATAATATATATAAATTCTTATATAAATCCTATTTTATATTATAAAATTAATTTATTAACTGTGCAAGATTACATAAATACATATTTGAAATCTAAAGACTCAAATAGTTTGAGTACAGGTAAAATAAAAATAATTTTATCTAAATCATATCTAATGGGAGAAAAGTATAAAAGAAATTTTTTTTATATAATAAATTTTTAAATGAGTTATATTTATCTATGAAAATTAAACGATATCTCTATCGAGATGTAACCAGTTTTACTCTAGTGTAACATGGCTTGCCACTGTTCAGGCGTTCTCTTAGAATGTATTGAAAACATTTTGTTATACTAATTTTTATAAGAATTAAAAAAAAATAACATTAAAAATTTCAAGTCTGCCTTTATATTTTATAATTATTAACCTCTCTGCTTTAAGTATATAAATATTCTTGAGAATTAATTTGCATTATAATCTCGTATTTCTTTCTATCATTTATTCTTTAAATTTATCACATTTTAAGTAATTAACAAGACTCAAAATAAGAAGCAATTTAAATTTTCTAATTCTTATTTGTTGTCTTTTATCTTATCCTTAATTTTATTAATTATTATTTTTATAATAAACTTTTTTAAAATTTTTATCTGAGAACTTTAGTTACGGGATAGAAAACACGAACATCCGCGTGACCGCGTGAGTAATTTGATACGTTAACGATCGACCTCCTCTTTTGCAAATCGAGGGTGGGATTGCGAGATAGTTGCGAAACTGGGCGTCTCATTGTTTCATTCTTATGTGTCTCGTTTCCTCTTGTGACCATTCCCACCGAGCATCGTGATAATTTTATCCAACAAACGTCCGTTTTTGTCCTCTCCGTCGTTGCCTTCACTTGCATAAGAGCACCTAGTGAAAATCCTTGAAGTGCCACAGGCTTGAACTCCCTTCATCCTTCCGGGAAACGTCGGTCATTTAATGCAATATAATGCAATATATATTTTGCTTTCTTTATTCATCAGCATTATTTATTCTTGTTTTGATTTAGAAGAACACAAAGTGAGGTTTCTAGCGGATATCTTTTAATTTCAAAAGTTGGAAAATTTCCGTCTTTGCAACTCGAACAATCTATACGCACTGCGAATGCGCGTTACATAATATTATAAATAAATATATTAAAAATATATTTATCTATCTAACTTCTGAAACGGAGGCAAATACATCAGCATTCTTAGAAAGAATTTTTCCAACTTGTGTGTAAAATCTTTTTCTCTTGATCCCGCAACTAGAAGAAAGCGAAGCGTCGAGCGAAGCTTTGAACAAAAAATAAATATCCTTGGAACGCCTCGAATTCCGTCGCGAATTTCCGTTGGAATTGGAATGTTGCCGTAGGTGAGCGATCAGGATTTCTTTGATGGTCAGGATCGGCGTAGTGATTTGTAGAAATTCCCGGTGGACCACGAGGAAACGAGTGAAAGGAGGCAAGGAGTTACTAATTCGTTATACCTTTCTATGCTCTTAATATCAAGATTACTGTGTTAGTACATAATATTAACAAGTATTGTAATAAGCGTTACAAACAAGCGTTCTTTGACATTTGAATAGACAGAACAAATAGAACGAAATATGTTATAGCATCTTGAAATTATTAAGCAAATTTGAAAGTCGTTTCTCCCTCACGCACAGGCGGTGTTCTCCGTTCTAAAAACAAATTTCCGTCCCTCGTATATTATTATGTCTGTTATATAATCATACATTGTCGTATCAACGTGACACGATTTGCATGAGAAGTAGGCATCTCGTGCGACTCGTGCGACTCATCGAGAGTGTTTCACCTTTATTTTCACCGTCTCATCGCGTGAAGCTGGCCGGTTGGCCACCCGGGGAGGGAAAGAAACCGTGAAGGCCTCGTCTCGAGGCCGCTCATGCACGCGAAATAAACGTTGCGGTTAACGGTAGCGCTTCGAGATAACGGAAAAGATAGACGCCACGTGCTTGTGAACATCTCGTTTCAGGATATCGCGATAATTATAATAACGATACACGCGATAGAATCAGTTTGATTATTTTGATTATCATTCAAATTTAAGATAAAAGCGCTTGGAAAAAAATTAATTAATTAAATTAAAATTGTGAATTAAAATTAAAACATTATAGTCGACAAGCGTAAAAAGATAGTTATGTAGATAACGTTATTATTATAATAAATTAAAGTAATAAACAATATTTAAAAAAAATAATATCCAAAATTTAATTAAATTATCTTACACTTCTTTTTCAATCTTTATATAATATATAAAGAAGATAAATATTGTAATATTATAATATTAGAATATGATAATTATAAATTACAAATATTCTTTTTCTTTTCCGCTGACGGAAGTCAGCTAAAGTGAATTTTTTTCCTGAATGAATTTTCTTTCCTGTGTATAAATGAAATTTTTACTGAATGAATTTTTTTTCTAATTAATGAGAAAAAATTTTACTCGCACTCCGTGACGATCTCGTTTTCTTCGGAACAGAATTTCACTTCCCCTCTCTTTCGTGGCGGAATACCTGTTCTTCGATCACGAAAGAGTACGTGTTGCAGGCCGAAGACTCGACGGTATCAACTATTAATTAGTCTTACTCGGTCAAGCCTGGCAATGTTGTTTTATCTACGGAAAATTTGTACCTGACGGAATAGGCGAGTTTTTCAAACACGCATGCTATTAGAATCAATTTGTCCTACATTATTGAATACTATTGAATACATTTGGAGAATTTGACAGAATATGAGATTGAAGATTTTTGGATGATTTATGATATATCTCCTTTTTATCACAAGTCAATTTTGTGCCATTTCTCAATTATAATGTCAGTAGTAAATTACTGGAAATGCGACTTTCTATTCATTTATCTTTCTTTCCATCTATTTTGTTGTTTCACATAAACACAATTATTATTATTATTATTATCTTTAACGATTACCTTTTTATACTGCGTATTATTGATCAACATAGAAAAATGGATTGACGAGAAAAATATTTTAATAAAAGTTTCGGTATTGTCAAGATAAGATATTTATTAATTTAATTACCGGGGCAATGATATAAAAATTACACTTGTATTTACTTAGAAGCCATAGTATTTAAATCAAAGATCTTATTTTTTCCTTTTTTAATTTGTTATCCACAGACGATAGATCTTAATGAGAACTAAATAGAAAATGAGGTCGTCAGCTACTATACAAGTATCATTACGTCCAAGGAAACATAAACAGTCATCCAAAGCAGTCGAAGCGTTAAGCACGAGCTAATGGCCTTCCTCAATATATAATAAATCACCGCAGGTATAACAATTATTATTATTAAGGATGTATGTAAGGACTGTCTCTCTTTTAATGAGTCACGCGAAGGGATTCCATGATGTCGGATGCGTTTAACGACGGTGTCATCGGGCAACTATCAGCTTTAGAACGATAGATGAAATCAGGTGTGTTCTCCAGGTAGAGCCTTCCTATGCGGCCCAAGAGATCGGCCGGGGATGGAGAGTGGGGCGCTCATATAAGACACCAAGCAAACGCCTCTCCCAGTGACCAGTCTCGACACGAAAACTCATCAGCCGAGCTTCCTCGGCTCCCACACGACGACGCAGAGAAAGAGAGAATATATTCCCCAGGCGTAAACCAGGAATATTTTGCCGACTAGGGATTGACATTTCGCGTTAGATCTATCGCCGTTTTCGCAGGATGTCGCAGCAGATCCTTCCGCTCGTCCTGGTGCTCCTGGCCGCGCAGGGTGAGTCCTCTTCCGCTTCTTCTTCTTCTTTTTCTCCTCCGTTTTCTTCGGCTTCTCCTTTGTTACTCCTTGCTTCGCCTTGAGGTTCTTAGGATTGATTGATTGAAGCAACCGCGCAGATTAATATTATTAATTTATCTATCTACGTGCCTAGATATATATTAAATATTGCTTTACATTTATCATTAAAAAACATTTGAGAATTTTTAATATTCTTAATGTCTGTTATCCATTACTAATGTTCTCAATAAGTAATCTCATCTCTTAGTGTTATCATTTTATTAATTTAAACTTTATGTGAAGTTTATGGATGTGTAATTAGATTTTTTTTAGTAAAAGCAAATTACCATAGTTTTTAAAATTTTATAATAATAATAATGTTAATTTTAATGATAATAACTCAATATAAAGTTATTAAAAAGAATACATTGGCATTTAATTAAATTTTGTTTTTCTTTTTTTTAATAAAAGAAGATCTTTTTTACGTCACGTCTTAATAAATTTAATTATATCTAGATATTTCATTAAATGTTTTTTATTTTTCTCTCATTTTTTGTAAATGTCTTGTAATAATTTTCATGTTCTTACCATTTTGAAAATTTTATTAATTATTAGTACAGAATATTTTTCACATTTCACATTAGTACAGAATATTTTTTATGATTATTATATAAATTAATTATTTTAATTTTATTTTTTAATTTAATAATTACATTTTGTCTTCGGTAATTATCAACGAGAAATTAATTATAAAGCAAAGAATTATAATTATAATAATAATGTATTTTGATAATAAAAATGTTTTGAAAAATCTTAACAATTCTTATCTATATTTATAAATTATAAACAATAATTATACATATTTCTTTCGTTACGATAACATCAAAATTAAATGTTTACCAATATTTGTTTAAATGAAATCACGGAAACGACACTCTAGAAGTAAACCGCCTTTGATCTTGACTTGATCTATCGACCGTTCGGCTTTCACTCTCGAGATAGGTACGTCCGCCTGGCTATCTTTATAAATAATAACAGTCGATCAATAAAACCGAGACGTACTGAGCGAGATGCGAGAATGAAAACGGTGAAATTTCCACGCAGTTGTTGTCGTTTCGCAGTGAAACTGAAAAACCGCACATCGTTCTACTTTCTTTTATAAAGCGATGAACATTGAACGTTATATCGATTAAAGCGATCGTTCTCGTGTCCTTCGCGAGATCGATGATGATTCATGAGAGCGACCTACTTCATTTTTTTCATTTTTTCATGAGCGACGTTTTCGTATCATTTTATCGATACTTATTATTTATTATCAGTCACTAGTATTTATTGTCACTTTTGCATTAGATAAGAAATATTAATTTTCTATAAATAAATATAAATTGTAATTTACCCATGAGTTAGTAATTAAAATCTTATTTCGTTCTTTTATTAATAACATATACAAATTTAATTAATAACTGAATTAATACTGAATAATTTGTAATATATTAAATTAATAATTCCATATTTATTTAACAATTTTTTAGTGGTAGCGAAGGAAACCGGAAGGTTTCTTTAACTCTCCCCGTTCTTAAGCGGGTTCTAACTAATTTTACATAACAAAAATATTATATAATTATTGTAAAAAATTATAATAATACGACAACTATATTTCATTAAATTAATCTCATGTTCGCCAAAATAGAAAAAAACTAGTGGGCGTCAAGTATTTTCGCATGCCAAATTACATAAATACCAATCTGATAAAGGAGAACAATGTCGTGGAGTTAGATAATGAGCTCGGGTACAATTTTCATTGCACAATCCTCGCGACACTGCAGAATCTGTAGTAAACATCGAGTCCACCGCTCCGCAATTATTACACGCATCTCCGTAAGAACAATGGTGGCCATTCACCAGGTTTCACACATCTCGAGAACTTTCTCCCGTGTGCCGGGAGTGAAAATATGAAAGTAGCTCACTCTGCAGTTCTCTCTCTCTTTCTCTATCTATCTCTCTGCTTCTTTCCGTTCTTCTTTCGATTATTTATAATTATTTAGCGAACACCCTTTGGGATGGAAATATGCTTATTATCTACTAAAATTTTTTAGTTTAAATCTTTAAATATTTCTCTATAAAATCTTCTTTTGCTCTAAAACATGAGAAGCAGAGTTACTTCGATTAATGTATGAACCAAGTAATCTTATTCTTGATTTCTAATTATCTAAATTTTTTTATAATCATATATAAATCATTTCAAACTTGATAGATATATTTTATTCACGGATTCTTGAACTTGACGTTCATATCACCTTTTTCTTTTTTATTTTTCTCTGCAGTTTTTATCTTCGTTATAATTTTATTTTCAATTTTTTTTCAATATTGTATTGTTTCTTTTCAGTATTGTTTTTGCTATAGTAAGACAATTTTTTTTATTTTACAAAATTTTAATTTATATATGTATATCTTATTATTCAATTTTATTTTTAATCTTTCTTTTCAATCTTTCTCTCTCTGTAGATCACAATGTTTATCTCATAAATGCCTTTTTATCATATTTTTTCGGGATTCGTAGACATCGATGATAGTGGCGAAGGAATCTATCTGATCTTCCTCGAAAAATATATATGATTGTCGATAACTCACATCTTTATAACGCTTACGCAAGAGGTCTTACTTTCTACGACGACATTTGGAAATATTACTTCGGGACTGACCGGCAGCCACCGTGCGTAATCTTCGCGGAGAAAAGAGTTCCATTCATTCATCCATTTATTTATCTATCTGCTTCCCACGCCTGCTTTCCCGACGCCTGCACTTACAGCGCAAAGTTGCAACGTTAACGTGTTGGCCGATTCCGGAAGTGGCGATGTAATAGCGTCGAGTAAAACGTTTCGCTCGACTTAAATTATCGATTGGACGATAAAAAGGGTGCAGATAGGAAGGAAAGGAGAAACGGATTTCGTAAACGCCGTTGTTGTTCCGACGCGGAACGCGCTTTTGTCGAGGAACACGTTGCGCTTTATCGAGTCCAAGCTAAGGCGGGGGCACTAGCTTCACGTTTCTCGGGTGTTCTACGTTCTACCGGTCTCAAGAAGGTTCTACGTTCTACCGGTCTCGAGTTTGCTTATTTATCATGGAAGGAAACGTGAGAAAGTCAGCAATGAAAAAGAGAGAGAGAGAGAGAGAGAGAAAGAGATTTATGATTTGGTTTGCTCTTTGAAAATAATCCAGAAACATTTTTTCGTCAAATCCGGTAAGAGGAATTTAGGTGACATTTAATCCAATAGCAGGAAATTTAACAAGAAACGTTTTTATTTCAACTGTTGGCGTGACATTTAACTGAAAATTTTGACAAGTGGCCACTGATATTGAAAAAATGAGAAATGTTAATAAAGATAAAATCTACCTGAGAAAGGGAAAAATCAGTGAAATTTAGACATATATATTAATATCTTCTAAGCAAAATTTATTTCTTGCAGCGAAAATTCAGTCTTGTACAAGAAAATAGTTTCCCCCGAATAATCAAACGTCGAAATTATGTGAGATACTTTTTCAAGCTATTTATATTTTTATTGCGCGTTATTTCTCAAGTGTACTTTCTAAAAATTAACGATGATGCTTCACGCGCTGATCGTCCATCACCGCCAATAAATCTATACCATGCCGCGCGAGAATTCTTCCCGCGCGGCGCAAAGTCGATTCCTCGTAAATCCAAGGCGAGAGACTTCCTTAAACCGTCACTCATCCGGGGCTTCGTGTTTTGCGCGGAGCGTGAAATGCCCCTCGCGAGGAGCAAAGCCACCGCGCCGCGCCGGCCGATCCTGCTTTCTGCGGCGAGCCAGTTGCAACCGCCGAGAGCCATTGCGGCTTCGAGGCTACTTGCCTACGAGGAGTCGTAAAGGAAGGGAAAGTAACCCGGTGCCATGTTAACTAAGCGTCTCGTTTGCGTAATTCGCCACGACGTCTCCGTGGATGTCTCCACCTATTCGCGGCACCGTGACGACCGCGCGCGCAAATCGATTAATCGCGCCGGTCTTACATCCATGCAACTGGATTTATCTTCGTCATTTTTCGAGCGCGGGATCGCCCTCATGGGTGGGCCACGGCTCTTATTGCGGACCCTTGACGGTGATTCTTGAAGCAGGATAATGCCTGATAATCGCATTACTGTCTGAATACGTGTTGCAGTCATCGACGATCGCAGCGAGAATTTCTTCTTATACCCCTTCGAGGAAGAGATAAGAATCTTTTTTTACATTCTTTATTGTTTGATTAACAAAAAATAAGTAAAAATAATATCTGAAATCGATAATTTGTGTTATATATAACAAATATATTTTTTAAAAAAGTTTACATCACATAATTGTAGAAACAGAGAAAAAAAATGCTATATACTTTAATTTTGCAGCAAAAACGAATTTATCTCAGGAATCAAAATTTCCAATATTTAATATTCTTAAAATTTAAAATTCTATTACAGTTTATTATTTTACGCGCGAAGTGAAAGAACGTTAGAAATACGTTTCAGAAATACATTTTTAAGTTACATTTATGAGCTTTTTAGATTTAATACTTTTAAGATTTTAGAGTTAAAAAAAAACATAATTGGAGAAATGTATAGATATATATTTAACGATTTAGATATTATAAAGATATTTTTAGCGATAATTAAGGCCACAGTTTACGCAATCCATGTCGGTGGAAACTCACAATCTCTAGACGTCCTTTCTCAGACGGGCAAAGCTTGCTTCCCCACGAGATTATTCGTATCGTGAGATCGATCGTGCTTCGCTTTCCTTCCCTTATCCGTTCAGACTAGTTGGCCAACAACGTGCAACTTTTCTATGGCTAAAGGCTATGACATAAAAGTATATTTATAGCATATAAACGTGATAATCAACGAGACGATTATACTCGAGATTGCACTATCACTATAGTTTGATAGAATCTGTTCTGTTTTGTTTTGACGCTTATGTAGATGTGGAAAATTCGGAAAACCCTTTTCAAGATTCTGATTTTCCTCTACAACGTCCTGAAAGATGTGAAATTTCGTTATTTCGGTACTTATGCATTCTTAGCGTACCTTGTAATGATACTATGGATTTTATAAGTAATCAAAGATAATTTGACATAAAATAGTATAATGAGTCTCACTATTAAAGTCTCACTTTAATAACGTAATCAAGATTGAGATGAAAATAAAAGTTTTGAGGCGTGGTACCACACATTAGAAATCCTTTGCGAAATGGTTTTAGAGATAGGGTCATGATCCCTCGTTTTGCTCCGAGCACCGAGAGACAGAACCTGTCGAAGATTCCGGTCGGTTTCTTTTTGAAGATCTTTTATTTTCATCTCAATCTCGATTTGCAGATCCTGAGAGAGAAAGAGATTGAGCAAGAGTGAGGGCTCCATTCCATTCTCAGATTGTATCTCGAGTAGGCGGAACAATGCATGTAGCTTACAAGTTATAAGAAAACAGGAGAAAAAAATAAGAAAAGATGAGAAGTAAAATTGAAATTGTTGACGAATAATATGCCAATTTATACTTTTTGTTTCATAAAATAAAATGAATGTAATCAAGAAACTTCTTCCTTTGCAAACTAAAATAAATTAATATTATTGTGGAGAGAGAGAGAGAGAAAGAGAGAGAGAGAGAGAGAGTTTCCTATAATGCAACATTAACTTCTTAGAAAGTTAACTAAAAATAAAATTGAAATTTAAAATTAAAACAAAATTAAAAATTCACATTAAGTCAGGATTAAAGTACACATGAAGAAACAAGATCAGAGTGAAAATTAAAAAGAAAGTAAAAGATAAAACTGAGAAATAAATATAACTTTATCGCTCTACGATGAAACATTCTTCCAACTGGAAACGAGGATGAGAATGACATTAGGCTAATCGACCGGTTGATCGAATCTTTCGTGCGCTAAAGGGGGACCGATGAGGTCCATAGAGGTGGAGCAGGGGTGTGGAGCAGAACTGCCCCCGAAGGTTGCAAGTCAAGGCTATAGGCACTTTCACTCGAGAGCAGTCTTGGGAGCGCGCCTCGTGCCGGCTTCCCACCTTATTTTACTATTTGCTTTTCCGTCGAATCATTAGCGAAATGATCGGACATCATGGTAAAACGGCGCCAGCAGTTTATGTTGCGTACTTTCGATTTGCACATGCTACTCCGACGCAGATCCCGAATGAAAATACAATAGTCTCTTTAATTTCTTAATTTAATTTAGAATTAAAGATAAAAGGAATAAACATAGAAATACAGGCATTACAAAGTAACGTTGAGCGACTTGTTCAAATCTTCTAGAAAAGCGTCTAGGAAAAGTTATAAAATAGTTCCGTATAAACCCCGTGAGAAAAACAACATATTTATATTTTTGATGAGAGGAATGTCCTGAATAAAAATACATATATCCTGAAAGGACAATATCATCGGCATCTATTCTCAATTTTTTATTCGACGTGGATGTCCTTGTGCGAAGAATTGCGCGTAATCTTTCGCGGATCGGCGAAAGAGATTCGTGATGTCATCCTGCTGCGGAATATCAAACATTTTCTACGTAACGCGGAAAAAGGATATACACTCCATTTCATATTATTCGACCAAGTGATATCCTTGAGCGACGAATTAATTCCGCACATGTAACTTTCGAATTGACTCGACTTATCGTGACGCTAAACGACTGCGAAATTGCACTTCGCCAGAATCAAATTTATATGACGGCATATCCTTGATATTCACCGAGGCGCTCGGTGTCCTTCGACGAAGACACGTGCAGGTGGAATTCGTGATTTTGATACGTCGATACGTGCACTCCGATATTTCGTAATCGCGGCTCATAAACGGGGAACGAAAGGGAAAGGAAAGGATAATTAACACTTATCGAAAAAGGTTACTGACGCGATAAATTGGCGGATAAATTTGAGAGCTCCATTAATGAGCTTCTAGATAATTTACGTAGCAACGATTAGCGTTGAGAAAGTAGGGAATTGAGGCAAAAGGAAACCAGGAAGAAGCGAAGACTATTATCTTCAATCATAAATTAATCATGCACGAATGAGGAAATAAGTATTCTCCTAAATTCCATTAAAAGAAACCAAGCTCCTAATTTTCCAAAATAGGATTTCTCTTCCTCGCCGTGATCCCAGGCATTATTCAAAACGATCCCATATCCCAAGGAGTACGAAGGATAACCCGGCTACTTGTACTAGTGTGTTTACACTTTCGCGCTTTACAGGCTCGCTTGGCCAGAAGCAGCAGCAGGAGGACCCGTGCCAGACGAAATCGCGAGTGGTGGGCGACGCCGAGTACTGCGATCGCTATTGGGAGTGCGTGAATGGTCGCCCGGAGCTGTTCGACTGTCCGAACGGCCTCGTGTTCGCCGGCAAGCACCGCGGCGTCACCGAGGGCTGCGATTATCCGTGGCGCGCGAACTACTGTGACGGCAAACGCCAGGCGAATCCGCCGATCCCGACCGAGCACTGCGACTGGCTGTACGGGATCTTCGGCCACGAGACGTCCTGCACCAGGTACTGGACCTGCTGGAACGGCACCGCCACCGAGCAGCTCTGCATAGGCGGTCTGCTCTACAACGAGCGGGCCAGGTCCTGCGACTGGCCTGAAAACGTCGAGGGATGTCAGAAACATCGTAAGTACTATGATCGAAAGGCCGAGAGGTTGCAAGCGGATTTTATTAGAAAGTTGCTGAAATTTATATACCAAGACCTGAGACGTTTGATGAAGAGAGAGATTAAACACCGGAGTTTATTGTCTCGCACAAGAAATGCTGTAGTTGATGATCGGATGCCGTTTGAAAACCGTGAAGTGTGTTAAGGAATATTTTTAGGAATAAGGAAGCGCGATATTGCGCGAATAACTCTCATCGAATATACTTTAAGTTGGATCTCTTCACTTTCTTATTTATCTTCGTAACCGGAATTAATTGCATTCGGCTGAATTTAAACGGAGGCGCGGTTTTAGACTGATTGAATTCGCGAGTAGCGGAATCACTATAACGATCATTTTCACTTTCGAAAGTGGGCGGACAGGACGAGATGCGTTTCCTCGTATCTACTTCTCGGTTCTTTCCAGAAGTCAGTGCCCCAAGGAAAAATGGGCGAGGCACTTAATTAGCATTCGAAGTGAATTCTCGTCGCGCCTTTCTCCCCCTCTTCGCCCTCGGGAACCGATAAAACGCGCTTATTAATTCGCATCGCCTCTCTCTGAATGTCAAACGCCAGCCGATGCATCAATCGTATACGCGAGTTCGTATCTCTTTTTTCAAAAGGTTGAAAACTAATCAAGAATATTTCAAAATTCGGATAAATATTGAATATTTTTTGCAATGTTTTAAAAAGAATATTAAGAAGAAAAAGATGACAAAAAGTTAATTAAAACATATATTTTTAAGTAATTTTTTTACTTATAAAAATGCTCTATTTAAATATTTATGATATTTAATTAATAATTGATTAGTTAATTTAATATTTTTGGAACTTTTTGAGAAGTCTTGAAAATCACGGTAATAACTTTCATACATATGCAAAGTGAAAAAAAAGAGACGAATATATATACACTGCATAATTAAATTTCGAATTAACCATCGTAGATCAGAATGAGATCCCGAATGAAAGTTTTCGACTTTCACCGAGTCGATATCGCGTCAGTTCGCAACGAAGCAATAATAAGAAATTCATAAAAAAAAAAACGACCGACCAATGCATCTTGCTCTTTTGCTACATTAAAATATTTTGAGTCTTTTAATAATTAATAAAAAATAATAAAATAAATAAAATTTATTAGAGTCATAGATCATGGTTGACATACTTTTATGTATATAAACAATACGGTCTTGCATATCTCGGTCGTCATTAACTAGCCAGCGTCCTCGAAAGCGTTCAGAGCCTTAGGCACACGTCCCAGTTAGTCTAGAAATAAGACGCAGCCTAATATTTGCAGCGCTCTGCAACGACGACGCCAACGGTAACGTGCCGCTGGGCAAGTCGTGCAACCGTTACTGGCAGTGCCAGGGTGGTTACCCGCGGTTGCAGCGCTGTCCGGCCATGCTGGTGTTCGACAGGCGGTCGTTGAGATGCGTGGTGCCGCCGACGGAGGACTGCGACGTGCCCACGACACCGCCGCCTACCGAGGGCGAGCTGTCCGACGGTCGCAACGAGCAGGAGCCTGAAGAGGAGAACCTGCCGCCCGGCGTGCCGCCTCTGCCGTCGGGCGCTCTGCCGATTCCCCTGCGGGCGCGTCCCAGAAACTAAAGCAGCAGCAAGGTCGTCCTGTCCCGGCCTTGGAAGGGCGAAGGAAGCGCCAGGAGATCCTTTTTCAATAAGCGAGATCCCCGAAAATCGTCAATCGCCGCGGAGAACTCGAGCAGTTCTCTCTCGTCGAGTCTCCCCCAGGTTCTCGCGCGATCTTGCAGTTTCGTAATTTCATAATTCTATAGAATTTTTGTAGAGGATCGAGATTTTTAAAACTCTTAGATTTTTTAACGTTCCGAAATTAATCCCCGAATGTCGGACAAGTTGAAGTCCCGCGCGATTCCGTATTACTTCCTCAAGGAAAAGTTCCGTTCTTTCTCCTGGATAAAATTTTGATTTTACCTTCGCCATATAAGGATTTAATTTTCAGATACGAATATGAAATTCAAAGTTGAGCAAAAGTGAGAGTAACAACTGCTTATTAATCACACAGTTCTCGGTTCTTCCTAATTAATGAGGAACGAATTTATTATTTTAATTAATTCACGAATAAAAAATGCATTCGTGAGAAACTTATTATTTCAATGAATTAATTTAAGATCTAAGATAAATCAACTTACATAAAAAATGGAATAAAACTTTCTAGCTATTTAATAACAGAACATAAAACAGATGATAAAAGTTCTCAAAGACACTTGAATGTTTTTTTACAAATCTCGAAAAATTGTAATAAAATCAACCAAGCATGATCGATCTCTTAAAAGTTTCAGGTAATATAAAATAAAAGTCTCATAAAAATATTAAATAAAACCTAAATTGCAAATAAAAATTAATATGGAATAAATTGCGACAAATTCAGTGAAATACTTTTTATCAGAATTGTTTTTCAAAAAACGGAATTAGACTTAATTAAAAAAAGGAGGAAATTATTTTTGAGGACCGAGACTTGTCGACATTCATCGATCCGTCCATGTCTGAGCGATCGAGCTCTTTTCCCCCTTCAATGGTGATTCGTATTATTAATTGATAACAATGTTAATTAATGAACATCTCGTTTTTCGGTTCCCGAACCGTTCACTATTCGCCCCCGTCGCATCAGTCGAGATGTAAATATTTTCCCCACATCCTCTCACTCTTTCCTCTTCCTCCCACATCCCCCCGCGCTCTCTTAATCGTAAGACTCGTACCACGTATATGTAGATCGATTGGAATAAACTGTACGTTGTATATTTTTTATACGCATGTCCAGATTTTATTCAATGTTGCCTGGCTGTACATTGTTACTATATATTTATCATAAATACATTATATGTATTACATACCGTATTGCATAAATACACTATATGTACTACATATCGTACTTGCTCTTCACGCACTGCACATGCAATTGGTCCTCTCTAAACGTCTGTTATCAATAATAATTTACGTTTGATACATCTTCGTCTATTGGCAACGCCGAACCGAAATCCAACAGGAATATACATCTATTATTCTGATTTTACTAATTAATTTTTTCCAATTGTTCTCTGTGTATAAAAGATATTAAATAATATCTTGTAATTTATGTTCGTAATTCTCTTAATTTTTATAATTGATTTCTTTCTTAGCTTTCTTAATCAATTTCTAGAACCAATCTTTGTCCTGCGATAATTCATTTTTCTACTATTTTCTATGATTATAAACCTCTTTACCAAGATTTAATTCATAATCGGACGTATAATTTTTTGTCGTTTGATGTTCGTTGATTTGTATTGCTGATTTAAAATACCGGGTGATTGTCAGGAACGTCTCCACGTTTAAACGCCATTTGAGCTAAAAAATATATAACTATACAGTTAGAAAATTATATATTTTTACTTACATTCTGCATTAAACTAAATTGAATTAGCATATATCTCGATTTCGAGATAATAAATACGTAGTTTTGTACATTTTTTCGACGATATTTTAAGACTTAAGTTTAAGTTTGTTTCAAGTCAAGCAGAAATTAAGATCTAGATTTGTAGCTTTTAAAACAAATTATACAAACCAGTGAGGAACTTCTTCCGGATCCAGGCAAGTCAGGCTCACCGAATCGAATAGTTTTCCTTCTCCGCAGGTAAGAAGTCGCGGATGTCCGTCCACACAGGTGATCAACCTACCGCAATCACTCGGCACGGGGAATCTAAAAATCGTGCCATTTGTAAATTTTTGGTTCGCGTGGATAAATAGAAAAATCTCAATTTACAATTTAATTTTAATGTTTAATAAGAATTGCTCTTTTTTTAAATTTACAGCAAGATATTTACGATTTCGTGACCGAGAAAAAATTGTGCAGTTCCAAGTTATTGCAATATTAAATAAAAACTTTCTCATTTTTATCTTGGAAGATCGTTTCTCGGCGTTCAGAACAGCATAATTTGGCATAATTCGAGGGGAAAGAATAACGTGTTTGTTAACGTGGCAAAAAATTGAATATTTAAACAAAACATGCGCATTTATTTCACCGTCTCTTTTTCTCTGTCTTTTACTCTTTCTTTCGATTTTTCTCAGAAGAACGACCGGTTCTTAAATCAAAGCGCCACGCATAAACGATGTGGCATTTAACGACGTTGACTCCTTTTACTCTCACGATCTTTAGTGGCGGACAATATTTCTTCCCAGTGGATCTTTCTCGTAATAAAAGAGAGAAATAGGAAAAAAAAAAGAAAGACCAGGATGAAGAATTTTATTATACCTTGCGGTTGCGTGTGGTAAAATAATCACACACACATTTCAATAAATAATACGCAATCGAGAACTTATACGAGTGCATGGGTCGTGCGCAGAAATCTGATGATACGATCAAATATCTCTAAATTTTGATTATACAATTGCTGGAAAGAGAATATAGGAGATGTGTTGAGCTGTCGAGAATCTCGAATATAATCAGTCACCAGAATATAATCTTAAGAGAAATATTTAAATTAGATATGAGATGCAAATATATATATATATATATATATATATATATATATATATATATATAAGATAAATTGATTTTGATAAACAGAAAAAAGAGAATATATTGCATAGATTGTGTTGCAGAAATTACTGCAAGCTTAATGTAATTGATAAGCCACTTATCAATCAATATTATTAGAAAAGAGAATGGCATTGATAACAAGTTTGCTCACAAAAACTTGAGAAGCTAAATTCTTTTAGTCTTTCAAGAAGCGAGGAAGAAAAGAAAGCGAATACTTAAAAATGTCTCGAGTGCGTCGACCCCAGGTTTTATTTCCGCGTAAACTCTCATTAAAGAGTGATTTCTTGGAAGTGCGTCCCGCATATAATTCGCCGTGGCACGTACATTACCTCGGGTAAGGCCAGAACTTGGCGGCGGGGCTGTGGGGGGGCAGCTTGTGGGGGCACTTGAATCCCACTATAGTCTCGGGGTTGCAGAAGGGGATGAGCTCGTCCGGCCAGACGCACGTGTGGGTCTTGGCGTTGTAGACCAGGCCAGGGTCGCAGTGAGCCTGAAGCGGGTCACCGTGGACGCACTTGATGTAACTGGTGCTGCAACTGTCGCTCTCTGGGTACATACCGAATTGGTACTCGCAACCCGGGCTGCTGATCGGCGTGTCTGCAAAGAAGGAGGATCGAGAGTTCTGGAGTGAATTTGAAGATAGACTAAACGCGCCATTTGACAAGAAAGAGATTTCTTACTTCATATTTTTTTCATAAATATTGTAAAAGTAGACAATTCCAAATCCTCCTGGCCAAAAGAATATCTATTTAGAATAAAATGCATCGATACGTTGTTACTGGTTTTTATTAGCGTCAACTTTATTTGGCGCAATAAGTATAAAAAACAAGACTGAAAACTGGAAAGTCATGCGACTGCGTTTAAACGTTAAGCCGGTTGAGAGATAAGCGATCTAAAGAGATTCGCTTGAGAACGAAATTATAATGATTGACGTTAACGTGACCTACTAAAGCCGCCAAAAAAAATTACTTGTGTTGTACTGCTCGTACAACTTTTACTTTCCCAACAATATTTCTTTCGCATGACTGATTTTTACATTTATATAAGTTACATGGTTTTACGAAAAAACAGTAATATAAATAATAAATATATATTTAAATAATAACGAAAAGACACACCAACTTTAATGTTAATTTATTTAATTGTATATATATATCTTATTTTTTATTTTATGTCGTTTCTATGCAATAGCACTTTTTCAAATGACATCTTTGTCAAATGTTCAGTAGGTACTTCTCTTAAAAAGAGACAGATAAAGATCGAAGAAACTTTCAATAAGTATAAACGAGTGATTTGAATATCGTGAATGTAGCGTGGTACTTACAGTCGGCCTTGCGATGGCCGCAATCAACGGCCCAATTATAATTGCAATGATTATGGACGGCACCGTGTCCGTCAAATAAAAGTCCGTTCTCACAGTATTCGAAGGTCAGCGTGCCATTCGTGCACAAGAAGAAGGCCCCGCAGTCCTCGGGGTGAGCGTAAGCGTGGATCCCGTAAGGATCGGGGCATGGCGGAGCATCGAGTAGGGCGGCACCTTGGGCTGTAAAATGAAAATTTGCATGACGAAAAAAATTACAATTCTCCATTAATAATGAATCTTTATTCTTTTAATATGAAACTTGAGTGAGATAACGTTGTAATAATTGTTATGCAAAAAAATATTGTATATATAATATTAATTAAAACATAATAAAACGGAATATAATTTACTTTTAATACGACATACATATTATAAATTATAATTTATTATATATAATAAATTATTTATTATATATAATAAATTATTGCGTTTTATTATTGTATATTATATCGTATATAAATATATAAAAATATGTATACATATAATTACTCTATATTAATCGTTATTCCGCGCGTATTTGTGCAAACTTATGCAAATATATTTTACTGGAGAATTAATGAAAGTAAAATGTGTTTTATCATAATTATGAAAAGAAACACATACGTTGACAAAGCGTAAATTATATGTAGCTTATAATATAGCTATATGTAGCTCGTTTTTTTTTAAATGACGCATTTTGTGACGCATTTGTCTTATTCGAATAAAGAATAAACAAACGAAAATACCGAAAAACAGGATTTTGTCGGTCAAGTTTGATTACGTATAGATTTAAAAAAATTTGTTTTGCATGACAGCCTCGCGAATGTCGGTTTTCTTAAATTTTTTTCGCGAACACGCGAAAGTGAAACTTACAACAGCGTGGCGAAATATAACGTGGGCACCATATTTATCTTCCTATACAGAAATGCAAAAAAGATACGGAAACATAAACGATTTATATCAAGAACCGGAGATTCAAGACCGAAAAAAATAGCGATGGTCGATAAATCAAAATCATTTTTGAAGAAATTCTTGCAGGCATAAAAAGAATGTATAAAATAGAACGTTTCAAAACATAAAATTGAAATATCCAATAATTTTTTAAGATTTAGCGCAACTTCTCGTAAAAAAATAAAATTGATTAAAAATAGCGTTTGAAAAATTATTCCGCTACACAATTCAACTACGTCGCAGATCGCTCCGTTACGTTTATCATCGATCACCTCGGAATGTTCGCCGTTATGTCACACACGCGGATCTTAACATATGGTGTCTCGTCGGTGAAAGCCCCGTGGGCTCGAGCATGATGTTGCAACCTGTCGGGAGTCCACGGCGAGGAAGAAAGCGTTCACGCCTGCGAAGAGGCAGTCCTCGGTGCACGGAAGAAGACGAGAAGCGCATTCCGAGGCGGAGATGCACACGCACGGAGATGCGAGAGGTATAGGGTTCGAGCGCGTAGGCGAGGTGAAGGTAACCACCTCGCGGGTTACGGTGGTTGGCGGTGGACGGTGGTGGTGGACTTACCACGTGCCAGGACCGCCAGGAGCAGCAGCAGGGTCACGCTCCGCGAATAGCTCATCTTTCCGGCACTCTTGTCGGCTTGACTACTGTCTCTGACGGCGAAGTTGGCGATTGGCGCGCACTTTAGGTGTCGGCCTCGGTGCACCTCCGGACGAGAGATCCCGTCTCCCTTCACTCCCTTCACCGCCGGCTTCGCCGAACCCCACCAGGATCCCCCTTGGTCGCCCCGCTGGTTTGCCTACGTGCTCGGCCTGCCGACCAGCGGCGCCGAGCGTGATGAATTGTCCTGGTGCACTTGGATCCTTCGATCTGTCGCGAGATGTATTGATTTGGAGAGAAAGAAGAGAGAATTTCAGCCGAATAGATTGCGAAGCTATTGGAGAAAGTCAGGAAGAGTTCTCTAGAATGTGTGCAAAACATATAAAAACATGCGTCAGCAAATAAATCATGCAAAAGTGTCGCGAATTAGACGCTATTATAGTGAGAAAAGAACGATTCTGCCAAGATCACAGGATAATAGCTGGAAGTTCTTTTGTGTCGGTACTTTTTCAGATAATGAGACATAAATTTTATCATTTTTACTAATCAATTTAATAGAATCTAAATTTAAAAAACGAAGAGCTGTGTCCATATTCAAGACTCAAATTCGAGAAAAGCCGGATATAGTGCTTGGATATGATAAGGATAAGCTAATTATGTAAATCTAAGCGATGTAACAACAATCGTAATAGGCACGTTTGCAACAATCATCGTATCGGAAAAGCTGCCGAGAAGTCTATTTTTAAGTGGCTCAAGCACTCTTTATACGTCTTACGTAATACTATTCGTATGAAGAAACGAAGAATATTTCTTTGGCCGCGCAGGAGCGACTCGCGATTCATCATTCTTCTAATCATATATATCCTAATCTCTCGTGGCATCGCGATTGATCGCGGGAGAGCGCATCGCGTGTGTGAATAGATGACGTTGGACTTAATGCCGAAGCGCAGTCTTCCCGCGCCTCGAAATGTCTGAGGATGCAATGTCCCCCGACACATACACTCTGCGTGTTCAACTATACGTTGCACAAGCGTTCTCGTTATTTTTCCGCGCGCTTAATGTACCGCGTAGCATTTGCGCGCTTTCGGCGAACGGTTGCGCAAATGGAAACATTATCGTATCACTCGACGCTTCTCATAAATGACAATTTAAGGATCGCGCTCGATCATTCAGGACGATTATAGTAAACGTACTTGGAAGATGTCGCTATTAATCAATAAAGGAGTAGGGATCCTTTAATGATCATTAAAGGATCCCTAATAAAGGAGCTTTCCCTGGTTAGAAAATTATAATCTAAATGAAGCTTTTGTTTCAAGTCCGATGAATTATAGTTCCGTACAGACGTCCGCGTCTTTATAAAAATGAATAATATAATATAACTAATAACATAAATAACAATAAATATATTAATAATATAATTATAATTGTAGATTATATATCTGGGATAATTGTAGGAAATATCTGTCTCGAAATTTTTTAGATTATAGTCATCGATCGTGGTTCGGTCTTTTGTACTGATCAAAGACACGTTTTTCGTCGGCAAAAAAAAAGCGAGTTTCTCGGGGGAAAACTGAATATGGTAATTCAGCAAGGACACGTTGCATTTAACGGTTAATCCCAAGGCGCGATCTTCCCCTCGTGACATCACTGGCCAACGATGTAATACGCGTCCCGCTAAATGCGTTGTAATTGACGAACGCGTGTAATACTTAAAACGTGCACGCACGCAGATAGATATACTTATGTTCTTGGTATATTAACATGGTGCGAACGCTGATGCGTGCGCACGTCGGTGAGGTCCCTGGGGCTTTAACCAGAGGCCTTACGCAAGACCCATCACGCTGGTCTCAGGGAGGAGGGACCAGATTGCCGGATAGTGAAAGCAGAGCCGAGGCGAGCCGGGCAAGTCGACAGATCGACCAGACATTCGAATTGAATGTATACGTCACGATGACGGTCAGTTAATTATTTTAGACTTTCTATGAACAAATTGTCGAAAATATATTGCCAGAGAAGCGCCAGAAAAATAGCATATAACTTATTCTATTTAAGAAGTCATACATATGATCTGCCGGTACTAATAAAATATTAAATAAATTATACTTAAAGAAAAGGAAATATATATCTCAGAGAGAGAGCTTGCTTATAAGAAAAGATATACATGATATATATCATGTTTTATATTTTATTTACTTTATTAAGACTTTTTATCTGCACAAAAATGCCGCGCAGGAATAAGAAATTTATTTTGGCTGAATTTATTTGGTTACGATGTTACGAACAAAATGCAAATTAACGATTGTGATATATTTCGTCGAATGCTTCGCGAAATTACGTAAAGAGAAAGGTTGCTATCAGGCAAATGAAGAGAAATTATTAGCTCGGAAAACCGTGGCATGTTGTTTATTGTGCACCGTAAATCGAGCCGAATCGCCAGGTAGTTCTTGCAGTTTTCCAATATTCGAAAGTATGTAAAATATAAGAAATAAAGCAAATTTTCAGTAACGTACAATAAAAAATGTGAAGCAAAAATAATAAACTATGAAAAACGTTATTTGAAAATCTGTTTAATTAATTTTTTTTTACTATCATTAAAATGTCAAAAATACTTTAACAAAAGTAAATACGACTGAATAAGGCATAACACTGTAACGTCAGATGTTGCAATGTAATTGTATGATGGATGGGTTAATTAATTCTCACGCTGACATTTGACTCACCGAGTGAAATCCAGGATGCATTCGAAGAAGTCATTTTGCAAGTATTTCACGATATATTCTGGAGTATTGTGGAGTGAAGAGATTTTCGATGTGCGATCTTTCCCGTCAGAGACAGTCATTATTGTAACACACAATATTTAACGATTTAACGATTTAACTAATATTACTTATATTATAAAATATGTTCGATTATAGCAATGCAGAAACTCTACACAATTATTATACTTCCCTTAATTAATTCTCTTAAATTTCTGTAGAAATATTTTCTCTCTTTTATCTTCTCAATTTAAACAGACCTAAAAAGTAAACAATGTTTATATCTATTAATATAATGATTCTTAATTTAATAACAATACTTTTATTTATTTTATAACGTATTTACCTTTTAATAATATACATTATGTATAATATATTAAATATATAATTTTAGAAAACTCTAAATTTTTCCGCATATTTTGGATTAAATAATTATATTATCTTTGTAGAGAATATTTTAGGATTTAAGGGAAATTATATAATCACTTTAAAATTTTTTTATCTTATATATTTCTCATGAATGATATTATTTGCATAAGTATTTGTAAGTATAACATCTTTAATAAAATCTGAAAAAATTCTTCATTACGTATATTTTAATACAAATATTGACCTTTTTATACAACTTTTATCCGCGAAACTTATAGAAGAACTTAAGTTTATTATTAGAATTCATAATTAGAAAAATGAAAATGAACATAGAATCTTGTGTTTAAGCAATACATTATTATATGTCAAGTAAATTTTAATTTCATTACAAAGCCAATTAATATCCAATCAAAAAGTTTTGAATAATTTTGTAAAAAGAAAACTCTGAGGTAAAATCAACTCCAATCTTGTAAAAAAATTTGTAAACGGACTTTCAGAACATCTTGCATATAAAATGTGTACAATAATTATCAAGACGTAACAGTGTGTAATTCTTACAACATCAGCTAAAAATGATGTTATCTAATTGTAAGAGTCCAGAGTGAAAGACTTATTTCCTCTTCAGAATATATAATAAATAAATTTCATTCCTTGAGTTATTTAATCGCGGAATTGTGCGTGCGTTTGCATGTTGCGCTTTTACAATAAAATTTCGACATAATCGATAATTATATAAAATCGGACCGGTTCGAGAACGGAGGCTTTATCTAACGGATATAGAACTTGATATCGTCGGTCCGCGGGCTTTTCTTTTCGCGGGTTAATGATCCGCGACCGACTACGGCTAACTTTATTGCGGATTTTCCGAATGTGAATTTGTTTACGTAAAAGGAGAAAGGGGTAGTAATTCGTCGCGGGGAGGGCGAAAGCGCGATTGCTCTCGAAAAGATCACGCAGCGATTTTTACGTAAGCGTGCATATCACATGCATTTATTGTTCCTATGAGTAAAATGATGAGCATTACACACGTAGCTGCGGTTAACTGCGCCACCCTTGGTTCTACAGCTCACAATCAGTTCTTACGTTTGTAATAGTCCTCGCTGAAACATTACATTTTGTTATAAAGAGTAGTCTGAAGTATTTTTTGTAGTAAGCTTAATTTTGAAATTAGAGAAAAATGTTGAAAAAGAATTTGTCCTTTAAAAGACATAAATTATGATTCACTTTTTGCTTATTATAAAAGATTCTATCAAGAATTAAAAAAAAAAAGACACTCACCATCCCTGCACGTATTCCGGTTCGGTGCACCTGAAGCTCTCCTCGTTGTACACAGTGCCAGGTTCGCATTGGCCCTTCTGCGGCACTACACCGTTCTTACAGATGTAGAACTTGGCGCAATCCTCGGGATGCGGGTACGTGGGATGCGGAAGGATCCTGCCGGACGGGCCGGCGACATCGCCGTCCGGGCATACGAAGCCGTCGTCCAGGACGTCGCGTTTCAAGTTTTCGCACAGGCGAGTGGCGTCCGCCGGCCAGACGCAGCTCGACATCTTAGGTTCGTAGATCAGCCCGGGCGGACAGGGCACCACCTGCACCACCCCGTCGATGCAGTTGACGAAACGATCGCACGCGTTCGGGTCCTCGTGACCGAAGATGCCGTTTGCGCGCGGGCAGCCCTTGCTAGGATGCGGCTCCTCTGTTCCGTCACAAATATGTTATTAGGTAATACCAATGCATGTATAATTATGTAAATAATTATGTAAGTTTTATATTATTTAATATATAATTATTATATAATTGTGATTTATCTTGACATTTGTAATTAAAAAATTTGTAAATAAAATCTATTCTTTTTAATTTTAGTGATTAAATTAAATATTAAATAGAATGATTAATATTTAATGTAGACATTAATTTTTACAGCAACTATTTAAAAACTATAAAAATTATTTAACCTATATTC